CCGGGCCGGGAGAATAGAACCGGGAGAGCCCAGCCGGGAGAGCCGGGCCGAGAACGCCGCCCCTCCACCGGGAGCTCCGGAGCCCCCCAAAAAGTGACAGGGACAAAGCCACCTCCCTGCACCGAGCGCCACGGGGTGACAGTGACAGAGCCCGGAGTGCTGGCGGAGGGGTCAGGCTTCTGGCGCCCCTTTGGAGGGGTGGGACAGCACGGCCACCCCTGGGGACAGCCGTGTCCCCTGCCAGGCGCCGGTGACAGAGCTCTGGCCTGGTTGGAAGCCACYGGAGATAACGCAGCCATTGCCGGGCCACCAACTGRGGGGGACAGCGACGGGGACGCTGCCAATGAGGGAACATTGCCATCGAGGGGACGCTGCCATCACCTGGGCCATGTCCCCCCAGCCTTGTCCTCACCRGGGCCTTGGGGACATCGCTGTGACAAAGGTGACCTGGTTAGGGAGGTGACAGTGGGGTCTGGCAGTGTCCCTGGTGCCTCAGGGGTGGCATGCCACCWCAGTGGAGTGGCACGGCGAGCAGGACACCCTGACAGGTGGCACCTGTCCCCACCACAACCGTGGCTGACACCTGTCCCYGTGTGAGCGCCCTGACAGCACGACAGGACCCTGCAGGGCCATCAGACCCTGGTGGCACTGCACGAGTCCCCACGGGACCACAGACACTTGAGAGYGTGGCACGTGTCCCGTGCCACCACACACAGCTGATGGATGACACCTGTCCCCATATCACTATGGACACCTTGACAATGTGGCACCTGTCATCGCACACAACGGACACCTCGATGGTGTGGCACCCGTCCCCACATGGCCATGGTCACCACAGGGGCGTGGCACCTGTCCCGTACAACCATGGACACCCCGAGGCTGTGGCACCTGTCCCCACATGACCACAGACACCTCAGTGGTGTGGCACCTGTCCCCATATGACCACAGACACCCCAAGATAGTGGCACCTGTCCCCATRKGACCAYRGACRCCCMRASAWWGKGGCAYCTGTCCCCATATGACCACAGACACACCAATGGAGTGGCACCTGTCCCACACAGCCACAGATACACCCACTGGAGTGCACCTGTCCCCATGCCACCCCCCAGATGTCCCCTTGCCCCTGTCCAAGTCCTCTGGCTGTGTCTCCCCAAAGTGGGGTGACCTTGTTTTGGGATGCAGAGAGAGGCGACATCACAGGGCTGGCTGAGGTGACAGACCGCAGGAATGTCCCCAACCGTCCCAGCATCCCCGGCCACCTCCCTGGGACACAGAGGGATTTTGGGGCAGCAATTTCACCCCCAAATCCATCAGGTCATCCCAACCCACGGGGACGGCGCTGGGGTGGCACGAGGCGGGGGGGGACACTCGGGTGCCATCTCCCCTCCAGGATCCGCCCCCCCACTGGGATCATTACGGACAAAACGAAGCACGAGGGACTTTTGGGGTGGCGTGGGGGGTCYCCACGCAGGGTCCCCCCTGGGGACATCCCCCAGGACCTGTCAGAGAGTGCCGGAGTATCCCCAAAACCGGAACACCCCCCCCGTCAGGACCCCTTGTCCCCACCCTGTCRCCGTTCCAATGTCACCGCGCACCTGTCGCCGGGCGGTGGCGCCGGGAGCGGGGGGGACACGCGGATCCCCCAAAACCCTTCCGGGGGGATTTAAGGGATCCCCCAACCCCCCGTGCGGATGTGAGAGGGGCGGGGGCACCCCCCGTTCCCGCCGGGGGCGCTGGGGAAGGGGGAGCGGGATGGGCGGAGGGTCCCAGCGGGATGCGGTGTCCCCGAGAGGGGGTCACGGAGCGCGACAGGGGGCGAGGGGGGCTTGGGGACACCCTGGAG